TGGGCGCTTCCAAGTCTAAACCTAAAACTGAGCGGCCCCACGCTTGTCCGCTATAGCTCTGTTTTAAATTGAAGTGTGGTCGAAGTCCTGTTACCACCAGGCTGCTCTTGCCAGGTAGATAAGTAATACCTTTTCTTACTTTGTCCTAATGCTGCCTCCAATGTTAGTGAGTGGGTGTTCCTCTTTGTTCTTCCTTAGTTATGTTCTCTGCCCTACTTTTTATATGTCTGTGTTATTCTGTTATAAATGGGTGGCTAACGTTGCTGCGGCTTCGTGGCCAGGTCAGGCATTGAAAATTATGATTTGATCTCAATGCTCTTTATCTGGTTAAATCAAGTTGAATTACGAAAATAAATAATAATATAATCATTAACTTGCTCTGCTATTGATATTGAAGGCAGCACAATTAATTAAGGATTTGGGGATGAAATCTCATTTTTTACAACATCAAATCTCAAGTCCACTGTTTGTTACAGGCAAAATATGTGCTACATCTTATTCTGAAATAAGTTTTGGTGCGTTTTTGTACTTAATAAAATATCTTTGTTTTGCCTTAAAGATCCTCTCTACCCATGATCATTTTAATGTATTCTTAAATTATAATGAGAATAGTGATAAAAAAAACATCAATTACTTCCAAAGATATTTCTCAATCTGTATTATTTTTACAAATCACCAGGCCCTAATAATAATTGGTATAATCGATGCTAAGGACATTTAACACATATCAAAACACATACATTCAAGCCACCTGTTAAGCAGTATTTACGTTTGTTACTCGACCTATTTTTCTATAAAGGTGAGGATTTTCTTACCGCTACTTCTGCATGCTCTGATAGGATAACTGTATGCTGTTGAAAAAACCCAATACACAAAGTTACTTTATCATATTCCTCGCTAGCCGCTCAGGGGCTGCAGTGGGGCGTGTGCTGGTGGGGGGGGTGGGCTGTGACCATCCTGTGCGGGGGGTCCTGCGCGCTGGGGGGTCTGGCTCGGGTGCTGGCTTGCTCCTCTGGAGGTCTGCTGGGGCGTGCCTCCCGTGGCCTCGCCGATGGGACCCCCCTCACTGCTCCACCTCTGCGGCGGGCCGGGCCTCGAGGGCACCCGCTCCCTGGCAGGGAGCTCCACGAGGGGGGCATCCCCCGACCCCTGGGGGAGGCAGAACACTGAGGTAAATTATTTGGAAAATGAAAGATTCAACTTATTGTTCATGTACGTAGTACAAGGTACTATGCTAACGCAAACCGCTTCACTGCATTTGACCCATCCTAGTGTTAGGACCAGTGGGCTGCCCATTATGGTACGGCACCCAGGGAGCAGTGTAGGCGAACGGCTGCCTTGCCTCAGGGACACCTGGTAGCACTTGGTCTTTCGGCGCGGACTTGAACTGGTGACCTTCCAGGTTGCCAAGCCAAGTCCCTATGGACTTCGCCACCACTGCACCTTGTTCCTCTCTTTTAAGGAATACTTCAGGATTTATGGAAGTATGTAGGACCTGTACAGAACGGTGACATACTAAAGGAGCATGTCTTTGGGATTTAGTGCCTTTAGTGGTCAAGCTAACACAAATACAGGAATTAGAATAGGAATTGGGAGGGATGAAACCCTCTCTAATGGTCACGACATGCAGAGCACACAGCACCACACAGGTCTGAAATTTGGCCTCTGCTTTAACCCATTATAGTACCAGGAGTCTAGGTACTTAGGTTAGCAGTACCATATCTTAACTTAAAAAAAGTAGTCAATATAACAAACCACTAATAAACATCTGTGTTCAATTCCATCCCTCTGAATTCCTCACCTCGGTCCTCGGTCACCTTCATAAAAAGAGGTGGTTGCAGTTGATGTTTTGAAAGACTCAGGGCACCCTTTCCCTCCATTTTCACCTATTCATGCTAAGCAGAAGCTAACCTTCGAGCTCCAGCCCCTATTTGCCATACGAACATGCAAATGGATTTTAAATCACATGATGTTAACACTGAGGGTAAAAAATATGTTCCTCTACTTGAAGGGAATACTACAGAATTTAGGAAACATGTAGACCTGGACAGACTTCATGAGACCTTTATGACATCCTCATAACACGCACTAACATGTCAGCTACCGTTTCAGAAAAAGAACGTGTTAAAGGAACAGTGTTGGGGGTTTAGTACCATTTACTGCTCAAGCCAACCGAAATACCAACTGACTTCAGGACAAGCTATTCCTTACAAAAAGGAAAAACTTGTTATATGAGAAAACTGGCATCTGTGTGTGTGTGTGTGTGTGTGTGTGTGTGTGTGTGTGTGTGTGTGTGTGTGTGTGTGTGTGTGTGTGTGTGTGTGTGTGTGTGTGTGTGTGTGTGTGTGCCTCACCTGTGTGCTACACCAGGGGGGAGTCCGCGGCCCCTGACCGGAGGGCCCCCTCTGCCTCTGGCCCCGTGATCCTGGCCTCCGTTCAGGTAGCCCATCTCCAGGAACTGCTCTTGGCAGATATCATCCATCATATCCTACACACGTTAACACACACACACACACACACACACACACACACACACACACACACACACACACACACACACACACACACACACACACACACACACACACACACACACACACACACACACACACACACACACACACACAGAAAGAAGACATAGAGAGGAGGTTAGAATTAGAGACTAGGGCCACATGACATGGGAGAAGTGGAATGAAAAAGCAAGAAAGGGAGGCAGTGTGGAAGAACGAGCGATGAATAAAAGAGTGAAACACAATTACAGAGCTGCTCACAACCCCCCCCCCCCCCTAATGGCTAACAGGCTTCCTGTCTGTCTTCTTGAGTGGAGGAGAAAGTCTCAGTGCCAGTGACTCAGTGTTAAAGAGAAGGGGGCGGCAGGGGGGTTTTAGTGGATGTGGGGGTTTGGAAAGCATCCATCCACACTCCTGAGCCACTCCGTCGAGCACAGAATGTAAATCTGTTCTCTCTGCACTTCTTGACAAGCCTGGTGAGATTGCATCAACTTATTATCATCTGCGAAAAAACAATAACTGGGGGGGAATTAACAAAGCGGTCCGTCTGAGCGACACAAATCCAGTAACGCAATCCAACACTTCTTCGGAGAGCGATCGCACCGGGATTGAATTTATTATTTCCCATCAAATCAGTCCCTGAAATTGTGACCGAGCTCTAATGACAGTGAAAAAGAAGAGAAAGGAGAACATGGAGCGCGGACTTCACATTTATCTGCAGCCTAAGCTAACACCAGCGACTCAGATATTCATCAGTGAGACTGCAAGGTGACACTTTACCCATCAAGGTGTTCAGATGAATCTAGTTTCTTCATATATTGCATTAAAAGATACAAATAAATTGTCAATGTGCTTCATACAGCATCAAGGCTCTGCTTGTGCATTTACATTGGCAGACATACAGATGAAGAATAGATGAGGAAGAACAGAAGAGTCAAAGCCTTATGGAATACCTGAGTGCAGGTAGTAATACATAAAACATAGCTTCGGCAGATAAAATCCACCCATTTATTCAAATATGGCCTGGTTTCAAATGAAGGACGTCAAACCTGACAGATTATGGCTTTAAGTTGTCACGACAGGTTCTGCAGGGGACGGCTTTGTCCTGCCTATTCCTCCTATACCACCCTCTAATAAAAAAGAACTTGTCCTGCTTTGGCTGGAGCCGTGGACAGAGCACTGTGGGCTTCAGCCAGGCTTTGTTGGCCCGTGATCAAGAATCTCTCAGCACAAAAACGGATGAAATAAGCGTAGGCCGCGCCGGGTGAAATACACCATGGATCTGTCTGGGAAACTTACATCTCCACGCTGAGTGTCCTCGCTCCCTGAGGAATGAGACTCAGTGATGGACAGACAGGAGGAACCCTGCCAACAAGATGCCTCCTGTTGAGCTGATCTTCTATTAGATTTAGAGTGTTGTCAACACGCACCTCTTCTCACCCTCTGTCTGAAACCAGAGTCTGCTCTGATTGGTTAGCTGGCCGGCTCTGTTGTGATTGGTCAACCACTTAAAGATGTCCCGCCCCTTAGCCTATCATGTACAATGTGTTGGAGGGATAGCCAATAGAAGCATAAGTGTTACATAGAGATGTCCCTCTGTTCCAGAAGTAAACAAAGGAGTCCAATGGAGGCGTTTCAGGCACAAAAACCTATAACACACTACAAGAGAGGGAAAACCCCAAAAAGCACAATAGGGCCCCTTAAAGGTGGGGTAGGTAATTTTGGAGAAACCAGCTTGAGTGCGCTAGAATTTGAAAATACACAACCGGAAAAAATCTGCCCCTTCCTTACAGAGCCCCTCCTCCAACACACACAAACGCGCACATGACCAATGAGGGCACGAGATAAGTTTGTGCACAGATGGAAGGCTGACAGGCAGGTAGGCCATCCAGTTACTTTAGCCGGGCCGGCTCAGATGATTGGTCGTGCTTTTTACAGTACCACGGCTTCCACAGATGACATTTTTTTCTGTATTTTTTGTCAAAGCACTTCAGATATTCATTGCTATCGGGATGTTAAGAGCATTCCATGGAATATAACCATAAGTGTTTCTCGAGCCGGTTTCTCAAACTTACCTACCTCACCTAGCAATCTTTCAGGCATTCTTTTCCCATTTATAATTAATATTTAATATTTGATAAACCAAATAATTCATCATGAATCTATTGGCACTGCAGATTACAAGTGTTTAATCGTAGGGCTAAATGGAAAACCCACTAATTACTTGATTGAATCATTTGGCATTGAATTAACCACAACTTTAGCAATCTTTGCCGGTACAATTTTCATAAAGGCAAAGATAAGCTTTGATTTATATCTTTAGTCGAGCTTTGTCGGATTAATTTCAGCACATCACATAACGTTTATTAACTTGTGTTGGGTGTGAGTCAATATTGTTGACATTTCACAGTCTACATGATGAATTAAATACATTATATGCAGTTTAATGAGTTGTAAGGAATATGTGTTCGATGCAGCAGCTACCAAAACGTCAACAGAAAGCAAGACACGAGCACAGCACCACAGCAGAGAGGGACTCACAGGAAACAGGAACTTCTTGACCTCCTCCATGGCGTGGGCCATGCGCAGGTAGGCCTCGGGCACGGGGGCGAACACCTCGACGAACACGTGCAGCTCCAAGGACAGGTGGGAGTATTTGGGCTCGCCGGCTTTCCTCAGCCCCTCCTCCTGAAACCAGACAACATCACATCAGAATCAGAGAGGCAGAGCAGCTAAGTCAAATGAATTATGCAAGGAGTGGTCACAATTCATCGGCATCAGAGGGCATCAAGCACAGGTGGTGTTCCCTTCCTTTGTGTGGATTAATAATTGCATCAAAGTGGAGGAAAAGTGTTTTAACGGGAGTTCCTGAAGACTCCAGATGTGCAGAGTGTGAATGCCCTTGGCTTTACATTCACGTTCACTCTGTCAGTTGAAACCATCTGCCTGACATCGCTCTGAACTACAGGCCAGATGTGTTATGGCTCCAGGTACAAGTGTGTAGCACCATATGTGTGTGTGTGTTTAAGAAAGTGCACTACCTTAGATTTGTCTCTCATGGATCCTTTGCCCAGCACCGAGATCTTGGCCCCGGTCTCTTCCTGCAGACGTTTGATCGTGTTGCCCTGAGGTCCCAGAATCTTCCCCACGAAATTGAACTAATGGCAAAACAAAGCAGGGAGAAATTAGCCTGACAGTCAAAGCAGCGGTGAGTTTAACACCCAGGGTGAAGTGTCAGGGCGGCGTGTTGCTTCTGCTGCAGCTTTAAGTAGTAGATTTACCAAGATCAATAAGATCCCTGAAGGCTGCAGCACTGTCCGTCTCTATTCACTACATTCATCTAAAGCCCTGCCTATTTGTGCCTGTTTAATATTTAAAGAAACTCATTAACGTGTGCATATGTGAGCCACAATTAGCAAAAGAGTTGCCTTTAAGGAAGCAATTCCTCCTGGAGTTGTGAAAGTAATCTGAAACCACTCATGAGCTTTGTCTCTCCTGAAACTGGACTGATGTTCCGACTCAAACTAAGCCCGTCAAACTAAGCCGGGCTTCAGGAGATCAGGAGGCTGTCTTACTGCACAGACCAGACACCTACAGCGTATTGATCTGAGGCTGGAGACGAAGCAGCGTCTATGCCTCCTATTCTGCTTCACATCCGGTAGAAATGTCAACTTTTGTACTTAAAAAAGTACGCTGGATACTCAAAAGTATACAACAGGATTTAGACAGCCACAATATCAACATATAGGTCACTTACAATCATGCAAATACATTCTACAACATGCAGAAGAAGCATCATGCAACTAGAAAGCTGTGAGTTTTACAGGAACGATTAGCCAACAAATTAATCTACAGAAAATGAATAGCCAACTATTTTGATAATTAGTTCGTCATTAAAGTCGTTTTTTCATGCAGAGAATGCGGTTATTAGCCTCTCAAATATGAAAAACTCTGCTTTGCATTACATTAAACTGAATGTTTTGGAATGCCTTAAGACCATCCCTTTTGATTTATGACATGTATTGACCAATAATCAATTGAGAAAACAATCAGCAGATTAATAAATAAATTGAAAATAATGGTCAGTTGCAGCTGTGCTTTTCCAACAACATAAACCATCGTGCAAAAATCAATGTAGTCAGAAGTGAGAGATATAGATCAAATGATATATGAATGAATACACCTGAGGGTGAAGTGAAGTAAGATTTCACACTGAATTAAAACACGTTCACGGGATCCAATCTCCTGCTGCACACAGTAGGCAATACAATCGCTCTCCTATCCATCGGGATAATAACATTTTGATCCTTTTGATGATATTTTAAAACACGCCAGAATCTGCTGTAATTATTCTCTGCAGCTTAGAGATCAAGGTTAGGAGGAGTAATTTGAGACTCCACAGTAACCCCGTGGCTTTGTGTAATTGAAACCTGGCTGCAGGATCAATTAAATCAAGAAGGTTCACGGTGAAAAGAGACGAAGAAGAAGAAGAAGAAAGACAGGCTCACCTTCGGGTACTGTTTGACAGGTATGAGCACTCGTTCCTTTAGTTTGATGTTCTTTGTTGTGAAAAGGTCCATGTAGTCGTCCGCCTCCTTTTTAGTCTCGTCTTTCTGGAGTCTATCAATTTCTAGAAAGGATGGGAGAGGCATCGTTTCAGACAACGTGTTCATGCAATAGAACAGGATCAAAGTACAAGGAGGATTTATGAGCACTTTCATTATTCAGTAAGTATTGACTGAGAGATGTGCAGGTCAAACAACATCTTAGTGTCTAGACTCTAACTTGGCCAGATTTTGCAACACACAAGTTACTTTTAATATATGTTTCTACTTCAGTTTTAAGTATCATTTACATCCAAAAGAAGTTCATTTTTAATCTATTTTTTTGCCTGGTTTTAACAGAGAAAGTTGGACAGATTTTGACCGACAGTCAGAGTTTAAAGAAAGCCTGGTGCTTTCAATAAAACACAAGTTTGTTTGTTTTTCATTCAGCAGGTATTTCTGAACTTGTCCACACCCTAAATGGAGATGAAACGGGTAATTAGTCGATAATCTGGCAAACTACTTTGACAATCAATCATTTGAGCACTTTGTCAAGCAAAACTCCAAACAGTCTCTGCGGCTAACATTTAAAAAAATAATATCTTAACACACCTTTGAATCTGTTAACTTGTGTTAAGGTCTTCAAAATATCAATCATTTTTGTGATATCTGCACATCAAACTGTTCCAGAAAGACTGATATTGCACATTTGAGTTAGTTAAAAACGAGTACCGCTAGAATACAGCCTTTTGAAATGTTACATTTTTGCCTTGTGTGTTTAATTCAATGTATTTTTCCACAATAGGATGTAGGGAAATAATGTGCTTCTTTGTTTTAAATAATACAAAAAGCAATTTGGGTCAACAAGCAGCAGAAAAGGCAGAACTAAACCGCATCGATTGGTTATCTTCAAAACATGTTATTATTGTGATATTGAACCCAAATAATCGCATCTTTTCCTCCTATTGTGCAACCCTATAATCGTCACCATTTCCCATTACTTATACAACAAGAATAGACAAGAAAAGACTCGCCAGTGCAAGCAACAAATCAAATTATAGCACCAATTCTGAACTCTGTAATAGGCAGCCAACACCACCATCTCTTCCCTGTGGCGCCCAGCACCCTCAGCTCTTCATCTCATCCTCCTCCTCACTCCTGGCCGTGACATCTCCTGAGCGGCGATGTTCAAACATGTCAGCTCCATCTCAGAGCACCTGCTGCAGATGTGCAAAGCCTCAGAAGATGTCACAGTGAGGGAACCCACAGCAGAAACACTTCTTACTGCATCGCTCTCACTTTCAGGGATGCAACACTAGATTGTGCACATCCTGTTAGACAAAGAGACCTTAACCACTGCCAGAGAGGGGGCTCAGACACATGACTGGAGCAGGAACCAGTTTGCAGGAAAAAATATCACTCAATCTCTAGGAGAGCTCACACAAAGATCCCATAATAAGCAATCCTTCAACAGTTTATCTATAGCACTCAATAGCAAATAATGACCTTATGTGCATTTCTTATTTACGCGATGTGTGGTACTCTGGAGAAAATACTAATTGCCATTATTTTTGACTGATATTGCGATATGTCTCAATATTGGAGGGATTAATTACCAAAAAAACAGGTTTTGCTCAATTTTTTAAATATGATTCGATAAAAATTCAGTTTTAACACATTTTTAGCCCAATTTGAATAACGTCTTTTGTCGATATTGCGATTTCTATACATTTCGGATATATCGTGGAATCAAACCGAATGTCGTACGTTAATGCACGTAAGGAGTCTAATTCTGCACGGTGTTGTCCCTTTAAAAATGTATGCAGAACATATGAATAGGGGGCATCCCTCTCCAGCCCCAGAGCTGCCAAGGCTGCAGACTCCTGCTCAAGGACACTTCAGCAGCGGTACCTGAAGGTCTCTGTCTCCGGTAGCAGGCCACCACCGCCGCCTCCCGGATTCAAAGCAGCGAGGTGACCCCCTGTAAGGGTATCTGGTGAACATTTATCAGCTGCTGCGCAACACACCTGCCAGATAATGCAACCAACAGAGCCTCGACAACAACAAGCTTTACGTTTAGGATCACAAGCACCAATACAGAGCGACGCAGGTGCACAAAAGGAAGCGGAAATTTGACTCTGTGGTTTGGGCTGTTTACACTGTCAGACACCAGTCTTTAGCTATCATGCAATTAACTCCTATATGCACCAAGCGCGTATTTATTACACTGTTCCGGTTAAACCCACGTCCAGTGCGCAAACACATGGCAGTGTCAGCGTGCAGGTGTGCGTCTATTTGGGTGAGTGGTGGAAAAAACTAGCAGCACATGTCAGGACTTTACCTGCGTTTAAAAGTTTCATAGCGTGCGTAAAAGACGAGTCCAGGCTGTCCTTCTCCGCCAGCAGCTCGGGGAGATATTTCTCGTCGTTCTCCATTTTAGCTGGGGATGGTGCAACACAAAAAGCGTGAAAAACCCACAACAATTATAGAAAAAAAAGTAGTCCAGTTATGTAACTACGGAGTGCCGCGTATCCTGTGTGCAGACCGAGCTTCGCATGTGGCTCCCGGGAGTTTCTGCGACGGAGGGTCCGGTACTCTGTCTGTTCCCCGCACCGGCTGGTCCTCTCGGTGTGTTCAGCTGCTCTCTCTGGATGGGAATGAGAGAACAATGCGCGCAGACACCGGGAGGATAGT